AATGTTTTAAACATAGTTTCATGTTTTTACATGACTCTCAAATAAAACCTGCTCTTAATTTTCAGTACGTTGAAGTTTCTCCCCCCGTTTTCTAACCTACTACCATATAATTTAAAACTACATAGTCTCCATATGGAGGTACCTACTTTTTAAAGAAATTTTGAAGGCACATCACATGGTGGGTGCCGAACATAACTCTGTTGTTATAACAAACCTGTAAGGAAAGTAGTAAAGTCGGACGGGGCCGACTATATGATATCCTTCACCTCTTTGGCTATATTCAACAGATGAATCCTAACAGACGTCGCATTTTTAAACTGGATCCATAAACATGTCATTCTGCAACCGATACTAAATTGTATGTAATTTTATTTTTCTGCAGAAACTGAGCTGGCTGTCCAAAAATTTGCACAGAAGTGCCAGAGCTATATCAGTCGACGTGTAGGCATATCCCTCATATAACGGTACATCCAAATGGTCACTATTTTGAACACGTTTTGAACCGAATTGGCTGTTATTTGATATTTTGGGTTCTCATTAGGTATTAAATGTCTGTATCAAAAATTTTCAATATTGAACCACTTTTTAACCGAATCGGCTGTACTTTGTCCTTTGGGTTTACCAAAATTTATTTACCAAAAATTATTAACATTGGTCCTGGTTTCAGTGCGGCCCCGATATTACGGTCATCCTCCAATTTACGGTATGTTCAGGGTTATTGGAAATTTTTTAACACGTTAATAAAGTGAAATTTAAAAATGCGTGTATGCATAGTAAAACAATATGATGATGTGATTTTTTTAATCCTGGTCGTTCAAATTCTATAACGTTTAAGAATTAAATCACTTAATTTTTATTTATTCATCACAATTATTTGCAATGGTTCTTAGCATGAATTTTATAGAAAATAGTATAAAAACGGAAAAGCTATCAATTTGTGAACGAATTTCCGTTATAAATCCTTATAAGTCGTAGAACTATTCAATAGCTAACGATGGTGTAGGATAACACGAGAAAAAATATTTTTTGGTTCTCAGTGGCCCCCCCGAAGTGAAATCCTGGCTACGTCCTTGTTAAGAACATGTGGTTCATTTAAAGAACGAATTTCAATAACCACTTCCTTACCTCGTACCTATATCAACCCTTTAGTCGAAATTTTGAAAACTTCCTGGACCAATAAATTATTAATAATTTATATAAATTTTTTACATTATTTCTCTGTACAAATGGGTTAATACAACAGCCAATATCTTCTACCAGTTGATTCATGGAAATTGCACATTATGATTACAAATAAAACAATAATAGACACTGTAAATGTTATTTATAAATTTATAGACACTGAGATGACATTAGCTCAGCTCAGTTCGTAAGGGCTTATCGACGGAACAACATCTCTCACCAAGAAAAATATTTTCTAATCACATTATAAACAAATCAAAATGTATAAATTCATAATATTAGTATTATTATTAACTACTTGTAGTTATATTTCATCGAATACCATACCAATAACCATAAAGGGAGGTGAGAAAAACCATTTCAAAATTCAAAAAATACAAAAATAAAAATTAAAAAAATGTGTTCTTACCTTCAGTTTCCAATTTGTGTTACAATCCCTATGGACGCCTGGGCCGATGCATATCGATGACGAAATGTCTTCGCTTGAAAAACGGCGAAAAGGACATCGTTAATTGGCATTGTAATTATGGACGTGGCCTGCCACCATATGTCTGTTGTACTTTTGGCAATAGCATTGTTTTTCCCGATGACGACGATGATTATTATAGAACTCCACCACCGAAACCGCCAATTGTTTTTCCGGCATTTTTCAGAGATATGATACAAAATAAGGATGCATCGGTAAATAATCCAGCGAGGAGCAGCAGTGCCAATAGCGTTTTTCAGGCCACCGAAGATGGGAATACTGAAAATAACATGAAAAATGAAACGGTGATGTTTAAGTTACTGAACAGTGAAACAACGGATGATATATTTCCTAAACCCGGCGTCTGTGGTCCATTGTCAGTGGGTGATTCATGGTGGCGTGGAAGCAGAATTGGGTGAATTTCCATGGCTGGTAAATTTGGAATATAGAACTGGTAAGAATATTCAAATATTCAGTGTGTGTATGAACATGGGCATCAGTTAAAGCCATACAGATTGCCAACTGAGGCTGAGTCCTACGAAAAAAGCTAAAACGCGGACGTGACATTTCTATAGGGTTATGCCAACACATTGACCTATGGATTTTTTAAAGAATATGTTTTCAAGGCCTATCTAAGGCGTAGATTTTTTAAAGAATTGTAACGAGGTACGTTGTTTTCTCCCTTGGAATCCTTTGGTGGGCGCCAATTGCAGATAGTTTTAGCCTTCCGGATTTAAACGCGAATGATTTACAAAAGAACGATTATTTATTTAACAAACAAAGTAATAACGTAGACGGGAACAATCTATGAAAACAGAATGAATAGAATATATGTAATGATATTAGGATAAAAGGCAACGGCGACCATCGTCACCACGTTTACACATTTATCTTCATATCAAAACATTTTCCAATAATCGAAAGAGGGAAACAACAGGAAACGGCTGCGAATAGCTACCACGTGTTCCAATTGCTCCACTATTCAAATTATTGAACTATCCTATCCTACCTATGAAAACAGAATGAATATTGTTCGTTATGGAAGCTCCTTATATAGGCCTTTTCAAAAACAAATGTGACAAAATTTACAACGAACAATATTTTACAAAGGTTCTGTTTCCAATAAATTACAAAATTATTTAAAGTAGTTTTTAGCAAAGTAAAAAGTAATAAAATATTTGTGATATTATAAAAACGCTACTGCTACATACTCCCCCTTTGACGTGTAAAACCTCGCCTCGAGTCACACGTCAAAACTAGGCGGCTTGATAAGGTGACTTCTTCGGTCTTCCTCTTTTCCGCAACGGATACTTAGGTGTTGGTAACTGATCACTATTCGCACCTTTGTATAGAGTTAATGCTGATGAGTGGAAAGTGCCCAAAGGAATGTTTAAATTTTCTGGTGATGAGACTTCAAAGGACGTGGAACCAATTTTCCGCGTAATAACATATGGGCCATCCCTCTTAGGAACAAACTTTGATGTGACACCTTTCGCAGAATTACTTAATACATGTGTATTAACAAGGACTTTTGTTCCAACATCAAAATTTTCATGTGGGCGTCTCCGTTTGTCCACATATATCTTGTTTTTATCCTGCGCCTTCATTTCTAATTCTTTAGCATTTCCCAAAAAGTTTACCATGGTCTTGAGATATTTTGATAATTCATTAATAACATTCTCTGTTTCAACAATAGACTTGACATCGTGTTGAACATCGTCTAAAGTACGCATTTCTCGACCAAATGTTAAAAATGAAGCACTGTAACCAGTACTCTGACACTTTGAAGAGTTCATTGCAAAACGGATAGCTGGCAAGCAAATATCCCAATTAGCATGATTTTCTTGCACCATTATGGAAAGTTGACATTTTAGGTCTCTATTCTTTCTTTCTACGGGATTTGCTTCAGGGTGGTATAATGGTGTCAATTGCTGCTGTATACCAAGACAATAAGTAATTTGCTGCATAATTGCTGATACGAATTGAACCCCATTATCAGATTTAATTCTTCTTGGAAAACCATATCGTAAAAATATTTCTTCAATTAGTATCTTAGCGCATGCCTCAGATGTGGCATCAGTAAGTTTAAAGAGTTCTGTCCAGCGACTAGCGACATCTTCCACAATTAAAATCCATTTGAAATTATCCTCAGTTTGTGGTAATGGGCCAAACAAATCTACTGCCACTACCTCAAAGCGTTGTTTACTACTAGTGGTTTGCAACAAACCAGCAGGTTTTAAATTGGTGGCTTTAAATCTTTGACACTCAATGCAATTCTTAACATACTTCGCTATTTCTGCACGCATGCCGGGCCAAAAATATCTTCCAGTAATACGGGCAATTGTCCTTTCAGTACCGTAATGACCTGCAGTACTATCATCATGGTGTACTTTTAGAATAGTTGCTCTTTCGTGACTTGGTATAACAAGTTGTGCATCATCACAATCATCATTTGAGTAACAATATAGAATACCATCATTCAGAATGTAGCTGCGATTCATCCACTTTATTGAATTTTCATCTTGATTTTCTAAAGACGTTATTATGTCCTTCAAATATTCATCTTTCAATTGTTCCTCTCGAATTTGAGATTGTGTTTTATTTGGCATATCGATAAAGAATGCACAAATGCAATTCTCCGTATCATCGTGATTTTCAACTGCGCATGGTGGCCTTGACAACATGTCGGCTGTAGCATTCATTTTACCAGGGACATATTCTATCGAGAAATTCAATTGTTGCAGTTGCAAACCCCACCTGGCAAGTCGACCAGTTGGTGATTTTATACTCAGAAGCCATTTCAGAGGTTGATGATCCGTCAGGAGTTTTATTTGACTGCCTTCAATATATCCACGAAACTTGTCGCATGCCCATACAATGGCTAAAGCTTCTCGTTCAGTGGTGGAATAATTGCGTTCTGCAGCGCTTAATAAACGGCTTGCGTATTCAATTGGGTGTTCATCTTTACCCTCCCCCTGCAATAAAACCGCTCCTAACGCATAAGCACTTGCATCAGTTTGTATTGCAAAGGGCATGCCATCTACGGCTTGCTTTAAAACAGGTGGAGAACTCAAAGCATGTTTTAATATGTTGAATGCTTCTTGTTCATCCTTTTCCCATTTCCATATAGCAGTCTTTTTAGTAAGATTAGTGAGAGGACGTGCAATTTCTGCATATTTATTTATAAATTTTCGATACCACGAGCAAGTTTGGAGAAAAGATATAAGTTCCTTTAAGTTTCTTGGCTCTTTACGCTCTATTATTGCTTGAACTTTTCCTGGATCAACCGCAATACCTTCGGGTTTTAAAATATGTCCCAGATATTTTACATGAGAGCAGCAAAAGTTACACTTCTTTGCATTCAAACGTCGTTTATAGGCCAACAATCGCTTAAGGACAACTTCAATGTCTTGTAAATGTCTTTGGAATGTATCTGAACATATAATTATATCATCCAAGTAAGCCAGAATACATACATCATGGATTCCTATTTTGAACCGATTTATCATCCTTTGAAAGGTTGCGGGTGCATTTCGTAACCCAAATGGCATCCTTTTGAATCGAAAAGTTCCAAAGGGTGTTATCAGAGACGTTTTATCCCGATCCTCGAGAGCTACTTCTACTTGATAATAGCCGCTTTGTAAATCGAGTGTGGTCATATATGTTGTGCTCTTAGCAGCATGAAGTAGATCGTCCATGCGGGGAAGAGGGTATCTATCGGGAATAGTTATTGCGTTCAATTTCCTGTAGTCTACGCATACACGAACAGATCCATCTTTCTTTGGTACCATCACCACAGGAGAAGCCCATGCTGAATCACATTCTTCTATTACATCATTCTTTGCAAACGACATGCGATATGGTGGAGAAAATATTGGTTGGTGGTCGCCTGTATTTATTTTGTGAGTTGTAAATGGTGTAGGGTCTCCGGATGCGGCAAATACACCTTCGTACTTTACCAACAAGTTATCCAAGTGAATCTTATCTTCATTATCTATATTAAGCGCATCTGACTCTTTCAGGATTTTAAAGTCAATCATGTGAAGTTCAGTGAATATTTCATCTTCCACACTATAATTGTTAACACGGCGCACATTCGGAAATAGATCAGTATCTTTTGCTCTTTCTGGAGTAGTGACATCATTTGGAAGTGCATCTTTGAATATTGCTTGGATTGAATGTGGTGAATAATCGGATTCGGCATGATAATCAGGACCATAAGACTCAAAGTCCGAAACATGCGATTGACAACTTCTCTTTGGAGTTATAAATGGAGATTTTATGTTTCGTTCCTCTACTACCACTGACTTGCGTTTTATATATGAATCCGATATTTTGATGGTTTCAATCAAATTCATCTCAACTGGTAGCTCTTGGGCAAAATCAAAGACTTCAGTTGGACAGCCTTCAAAATGCCAATGTTTCTGCCCCATATTCAATACAATATTTGCCAGCTCCATAAAATCTGTTCCTAGGAGAGTGCGATTGTTTTTATCTTCGGGAAAAACCAAAAAATCTATATCAAAACTCTTTCCTCCGACTATAATCTTGCAAGTTGTCGTTAGAAATGTTCGAGTTGTTGTAGATCCATCTGCCAAAGTTGTTTTGCATTTAATTGAATCAAATTTACATCCCTTGAACTGCATTATTCGCTTTAGGTTGGAACTGGCTACGCTCGTTTTAGAACCAGTATCAAAATAAGCTTGTCCAGGAACGCCAAACAATTGAACATTCACCATAGGGATGTCACGACCAATAGACATACCATATGAATTGAAACTTACGTTCCTTGTACTTTTATCTTTCGGCTTAACATTGCATTTAGGGCAATTCGCACGAACAAAACCCGGTTCGTTACATCCATAGCAAGCCAATTTAGGTTTTAGTACTTCCGCCTTAGCATTTGACGTAGCTTCTTCAACCACACTTTTCTTTTTGAAACAGTTGTCAGCAGTATGGCCTTTCTTCCGACAAAAGGAGCAACGTTTTAGACCACCTTGAGGACCACTCTCCAAAGTTTCAGTGTTCACTACAACGCGTTCACGAATTGTAAGTTCTGCTTCCCTTGCATCTGCCAAGAGTTCTTCAAAAGTTCTTACTTTGTGGCGATAGACTCGCTCCCTGATTTGAGGATGAAGCATCCCAAATATCATATCAATTTGGCTGGATTCTGTTGGAACTTCCGCCAACTGTGCAAATAACGTTCTCTTCTTACGTATAAACGTATCAGTAGGTTCATTTTTGCTTTGTTTCTGCTCATATATTTCCGCATATATTCGCCATGCTGGTTTCGGTGGAGCAAATGCCTCACGTAACATTTTTAAGACATCACTGAAAGTTTTTGCTTTAGATTTAGCACCACGCCACCATTCTGCAGCATCACCTTGAAGTAGCATTGGCATACCATTAACTGCATTAGCGTCTGCAATACCTTCAACAACCTGGTATGTCGTT